ATAAATTTAATCATTGGAAAGCCATTAACATTAGGAGGGGGACATCTCATAACTTGGATGTTCAGGAGTGATGCGTGTGCAGCCCGATTGTAACAGAGGCCTCTGCCCCACAGGACAGACCCCAATTACATTCTTGGCTCATTTTGTATTTGCAAAAATTAGAATCTTCATAGCCACCTCCTCATTATCTTACCTGTCTTCATCCATCTTATTCACCCAGACCTCGCCTATCAAATCCATTAATTTGGCGCATTCTGTTTTTATTAACACAGCGATCAGAATGTGTTCCATGCACGTTGCAGCAGTCAGGATAAGCTCAGTGTAAGTGAAGTATTGAATAACCCAAAATCTCAGTGACTTAAAATAAGAAGGGTGTAAAAGAGTACTTTAAATTGTTTGTGGAAAAAACAGAATTAAAAGATAATACGAATCTTCCCATGAACGTTTTGAGGTACACTCATATATCTGTACTCCCTGTCCACAGTGGCTTTGCTGGAGGCTCTGTCTATCACAGACACTTAGACCCCAGGCTGATGAGCGGCCACTACCTCAAACACTGACAGGCACCACGTTCAAGGAAAGGTGAACTCTGGGCAGTCCGTCGTCGAAAATTAAATGTTCCAGCAAGGAGATGACATCTGTCTCTCCTGTTCACATCACAGTGGCCCACATGGTCACATCCTCACCCAACAACAAATGAACTAGAAGGACCAGCCTAACATGGGCCTGAAGAAGAACCAGAACTCATCAGCAAACAGTTCTGCTGACTGTCTCGGTACACAGGTTGCAGCTGACAGCCATGCACGGGCACCTGGAGGATTGCGATGTAGAGATTTACAAACCCTCCACCTGAATATATTGCTTGTCTTTATTACCTGACCTAACCAGCACCACACACACACACACACACACACACACACACACACCCTGCCCTGCACCACAGATCCAGTACTGCAGTTCAGAGTCCTGGGCACAGACTGCCTCAATTTTATCAATGTCTACTTCCCACTTTTTCTTATTACCTCAAAGAATAAACATTCAGTTTTTTTAAAAAGTCTGAGTTTTACACTCACAGCTATACCTAGTACAGCCAGGCATCCACTTCACTCAGTGGGGAGGAGCATGTTGGTGGCCAGCTTTCCCAAAGGGAGCACCCGGCTGCTTTTCTTAGAACACCTGGTTTGGCAAGATGGCCCAGAGTTAAATTCATGAAAGAGCTTGTTTCTCTGAAAATGAGCCTTATCAGTCATTCGTTTCAATATTTTCTTTCTTCCTCCCTCCCTCCCTCCCGTCCTTCCTTCCTCCCTACCTTCCTTCTCTTTATCTCTGTCTGTTTCCTTCTTTCTCTCTTTTTTCCTCTGTTTTTCTCTCTCTCTATCCCCCATCTCTCTTCCTGTTCTCTCTCTTTCTTTTGCTCACACACACACACACACACACACACACACACACACACACACACACACACACACCCTGCCCTGCACCACAGATCCAGTACTGCAGTTCGGAGTCCTGGGCACAGACTGCCTCAATTTTATCAATGTCTACTTCCCACTTTTTCTTATTACCTCAAAGAATAAACATTCAGTTTTTTTAAAAAGTCTGAGTTTTACACTCACAGCTATACCTAGTACAGCCAGGCATCCACTTCACTCAGTGGGGAGGAGCATGTTGGTGGCCAGCTTTCCCAAAGGGAGCACCCGGCTGCTTTTCTTAGAACACCTGGTTTGGCAAGATGGCCCAGAGTTAAATTCATGAAAGAGCTTGTTTCTCTGAAAATGAGCCTTATCAGTCATTCGTTTCAATATTTTCTTTCTTCCTCCCTCCCTCCCTCCCGTCCTTCCTTCCTCCCTACCTTCCTTCTCTTTATCTCTGTCTGTTTCCTTCTTTCTCTCTTTTTTCCTCTGTTTTTCTCTCTCTCTATCCCCCATCTCTCTTCCTGTTCTCTCTCTTTCTTTTGCTCAAGAAGCCTGATTGTCTTGGCAATTCAGCCTGAGCTAGAAATAGAAGACTTGAAAGGGGGAAAGGTTCAGAAAGCCTCAGATTAAAGACTTCCTGGCCCCTGAAGCAGGGAGAGCAGTGGCCAGGCCACAAAGTATAATAAAACCTCTGGAGCTTGTTCCATTCGACTTTCAATCAGATTTAAGTTCTTTGGCTATTGGCAACTCATAAATGGATCTGGGCCCACATTTCTACTGAGAGTTATCGATCACCCTCAGCCGAGGTCGCGCCTCGCAACAACCCCTCCTGTGCATTTCATCTCTGTGTGCCCCAGTGTGAAGACGAAAGGGACCTGCATCGGAAATGCATTTTATGATGTTTGAGCAATGTAGTAATTTCTGCTTTGCTTTTCTTCATACCCCTTCAAGCACTAAAGGGAAGTTTTCATCCATTTACAAAGACAGACTGCAGGAGAGCTGTCAGGCAGGAAGGACCCACCTGCCGTGGAGAGGAAGGCAGCAGGATGCCCACTGGGGCTGAATTCAGTCTTTGCCACTTTCCAGCTTCATGTCCTTGGAAAAGTTACAATATCTCCGGGCCTCAGGTTCACCATGGTGAAAAGAGGATGACAATAGTGCCTGCCTCCCGGGGCTGCTATGAGCGCTGGATGGGATGATACTTGCAACATGTTCAGCTGCCAACCCTGGCGTCTATTAGGTCCTCAATAAATGGGGGCTCCTGGCTCCTCCCATCCCAGCTCCAAGCTTAACCAGCGATGCCCGTGGCAGGAGGACACTCTCGTGGCTCTGCAGTTCATGCTCCTCTCCTCTCTGGATAAGTTTCCTCTGGCTGCTATAAAAAAAAACTACCACAAACTCAGTGGCTTTGTAAAACAATAAACACTCATCCATTCTCCCATCGTTCTGAAGGCCAGAGTCTGAAATCAGGTTCGCTGTTGGCAGGCTGCACTCTCTCCGAAGGCTACAGGAGAGAATCCGCATCCCTGCATTTCCCAGCTTCCAGAGCCGCCTTCCCTCCTACATCAGCCCTTCTTCAAAGCTGGCAGCAGAGCTGTTTCTGTGGTCACAGCGCCTCCTTCTGCAGCCATAGTTAAATCTCCTTCTGCCTCCCTCTTCTAAGGACAGTGGCATTACATTTGGGGCCCGCTCAAATTATCTAAAATAGTCTCCTCATCTCAGGATGTTTAATTTAATTATTTACAATAGTCAAGACATAGAAACAAATTAGGTGTCCATCAATGGATGAATGGATAAAGAAAATGTGGTATATGTTCACAGTGGAATACTATTCATCCTTTAACAAAAGGGAAATCCTGCCATTTGTGATGACATGGATGAACTTGGAGGACATTATGCAATGTGAAATAAGCCAGGCACAGAAAGACAAATACCGCATGATCTCACTTACATGTGGAATCTAGAAAAAGCAAACTCATAAAAACAGAGAGTAGAATGGTGGCTGCCAGGGGCTGGTGGTAGGGGAAATGGAGAGATATTGGTCAAAGGACACAAAGTTTCAGTTATATAGGTTAAATACCTTTCCAGGATATAATACACAGCATAACTATATTTAATAACAATGTATCATACACTTGAAATTTTCTAAGAGAGTAGATCTTAAATCTTCTCACCACACATGCACACACACATGACTATGGGAGGTGGCGGATATTGGAACTAACGTGATTGCAATAATCATTTCACAATATACATGCATACCAAAACGTCATGTTGTACACCTTAAATATTTTCAATTTTATTCATCAATTACTTATTTGCCAATAAAGCTGGTGGGAGGTATCTTTACTTTAGCCACATCTACAAATTCCTTTTGACAAATAAGTTAACATGTACAGGTTTCAGGGATTAGGATGTGAATCTTTAGGGGCCATTATTCAGCCTACCATGTCCCACCCCTTGCAAGGACTTACCCCAACTCTTGTTTGGGAAAAAATCTAAAGGATGCATAGTTCTTCCCTGGAAAGCTGGAAGACAAAGGAAGGACAAGGTTGGTTCTTCTCGTGAATATTGGTGGAAAGAAGCATCCTGTGTATGGGCAGTATTTGAGGACGTGGGTTCTGGAGCCATCCTCCTAGGGCTGAGTGGCAGAGGACCGTAGGCAGGCTCCTTCACTCTCAGTTTCCTCTTCTGGAATGTGGGACAAACAGGAGTGCCTGGAATTGTGGTTGTTTCAAGGATGAAATGAGTTCACATGTTTGGAGTCTCTGGAAAGCAGAGCCTGAGACATGCCCTTAAGAGCAGGGTTTTATTTGGGGGGCATTCCCTGGATGCAGAGTGAGGTGGGCAGAAGACAGGACTCATGGAAGGAAGAGAGACCACTAGGAGACATTGATGGAGCTAGTTGGCTTGAAGAGCAATGTTGGAGAAATCCCACGGAGACCCTCAAAGGATCCCTGCAGAGTGCATTTCAGAATCCACCCCACAACCGAGAGGGAAAGTGGGCTGCACATAATTGATTGAGGAAGTTCTCAGGATACACCTGTACAGGGGTAAAGAAATCAGGGTGGGGAAAAGAGAGAACTACACAGGATCCCAGGAGGTTTCAGGTGCAGCGTAGCCAGGTCCCATGAGAAGATCTGGATGACAAACTATACCACACAGTTTGCTTCTCATTGAGGCAGAGGTTGGCTTTTGTACCCCACCAGTTAGTCACTAGGTGGAGAGGTGCAATGGGCGGTATATAACTCCCAGGTAACTCTGAGGGAGACAGCTCCTCTCACCTAAAGGTGGTCTTCTAGAGAAGATGCAGCATAAGTTGTTGGCAGCACACCTGCAGCACTTGGGGGGTGAGTCTACCAAACCAGGTAAGCGGACCCCAGGCAACGTTGCTCCGATGGCATCTATCATAACAGCATCATCTATACTGAAAAGCAACAACCAATATCTCTCTACACTAGGATTTACACTTCACAGTAGTTACCCTAAAATAGCCATGGTACTTTCCATCCCTCTTCCTCATGCTATCCTTAAAATAAGATGAAAACTCACCTGCCTCCCCATTTCTTTTTCCCCTCTCCACAGGTTTCTGACAGATGTGACTATGTCTTTGTCAATGGGAAAGAAATGAAAGGCAAGGTTAATGTGGTGGTCAACTTCACCTACCAGCACCTGAACAGTCCTCTGGAGATGACGGTATGGGTGCCCCGGCTCCCACTGCAGATTGAGGTCTCAGATGCTGAGCTCAACCAGATCAAGGGCTGGAGAGTGCCTATCATCACCAACAAAAGGTAGGTGTGTTCATCAGACTCCATGACAGAAACCCACATCAAATGTGTTTAGGCTAAGAAGGAAATGTGCAGGGTGGTTAATTTCGGACATGACTGGATCCGGGGATTCTCATGATACCTTAAGGACTGAGTCTCTCTACATCTGTCAGCTCTGATTTTCTCTGTGATGGCTTTATCCTCTATCAAGCTTTTCTCATGAGGTTTCAGACTTCCATCCTATCTTCTCTGCAACTCCAGCAGAAATTGCATACTCTCTATCCCACTTTTCCCAATAAATGTCTCGGATTTAAGCCTGATCTTCACTTGGGTTGTATGTCCATCCTTGATCTAGTTACTGCAGGCAAGTGGATAGAATACACTGAGTGGCTAGCTAGGCTTCAGCCACAATCTCCCAGAGCTGGAGCCAGAGGAGCTAGAGAAGGAGTTCAACCCTGCCTGAATCAATGGATCAATAGCAGGAGAAGGGAGGATTGATACTGCAAAGGATTAAACAACAGATGTCCACTGGAGATACATCTGAACAGATCCTGCCTGACCTGAGCTGCTTCTCCATGTCCCCAACCCAGCAGCTCTGAGCTCCCTTCACCTTATTGAAATGAGGTCTAAAGCTTGTCAACTGTGTTCCTGGTCCATTTCTCTGATTATATTTGATAGAGTTATGGAGTTTTCATCATCCACCTTCAGGAAACCCAGTGATTACCATGTAAGGAGAGTTCTAGAATCTCAGGCTCTCCATAGATATTGTCATCTCAAAGAAACCCAAGAATGAGGATTCCTCCCTTAAAGACATGTGGAATACCAAAGTAAGCATATGCAGAATTAGACAAGGAAATATTCCTGGAGTCTGTGTACTCAGCAGGGGGCATAGAATGGGTACTTATCTGAGAGATAATTGTTCTATTCCTTCCCTCGTGTCAACCTAAATAACAAACAGAGAGAAGCTCTCTAAAAATATTGAGTTTAATCATGAATGAGTGGGGAATTTGCAAATCTGGGAAATGAAGGCTATGATAGATTACAGGAATATCCAGGGAAGCAAAGGATGGTGATTTTTAAAGATGAAATGCAGAGTACCCACAAGGTGTTTTGAAACAAAGTGAACATTGGTTACAGGGGCTTGTTGCAGGGGTTGACATTAATTCATTAGGATAGTGTTTTGGGCAAGTGTTCTTGTGCATCCAGCTACCTGTTCTTGTAACTTGTGTAGCAAGCTGCAGTTTGGAAAGTCCTTGGCAAAACTTATTACAGGCATGCTCATATGTGCATACGAGCCCTTCACAGTCTTTGTAATAGTCCTTACCATGGGCAATTGTGCACAAGGGCCCTCCTTCTCAGCCTCCTGACACTAATTTGTTTGGGTTTGGCACAAGTGGCTCCATCTGGATATTGACCACACTCACAGAAGTCTCCTCCTTTAGTCCTTGTGACCCCTGAGAGAGGCAGTGCTTCAAGGATGAAGGCTGTGGGTCCCCTGTACAATTGAAAGATAGTTTCAGCAGTAATTCTTGTCTTAATCACTGGGGTGTCCGGTGTTGAGCTGGGAGGGTGGGTTAAGGAGCAACATTTGTTCCTGCAGAGGGGAGAAACTGTAGGGAAAAGCTTACCAAGGAGCTGGTCAGGTCTGATCATGGCACCTCCCAGATGCTGTCACAGCTGTTTGGTTCAGATCCAAGAACAGAGCCAGTCTGAGAGGTGAGCAGCTATTGTTCCAATGGAGACTAGGACAGAACCGTTCTCCTCCACACCGTCCTGGCACTTTCTACCTTTCTTATCCCATTTTACCTTACTGTGGGTTAGAGACCCACCTCCTTTGTGTGCTGTTTATAGGGCTATGCCATCCATCCGTAGCCATATCATATTAGTTATCTATTGCTGTACATAATTTAGTGGCCTATCCCCAAACTCAGTGGTTCAAAAATTATCCTAATACTTAGTGTGGCTTAAAAGAACAACTTGTATTATCTCACAGTTTCTATGGACCAGGAATCCAGGTGTGGCTTAGCTGGGTCCTCTGGGCTGGGTCTCTGACAAGCTGCAACACAATTGGAAGTGGGGCTGGGGTCTCCTCTCAAGGCTCATGGGGGGTGGGACCTATACCCAAGCTCACTCCTGTGGTTGCTGGCAGGTCTCCATTTCTCAGAGGCTGTTGGCCAGAGGCCACTCTCTCCATTTATAGCCAGGTGGATGTCACCACAGGGCACCTCACAACAGGGCATCTGGCTTCATCAGAGCAAGCGGGTGAGAAAGACCAAGGAAAGAGAACACAGCAAGGCAGAAGTCACAGTCTTTTAAAATCTAACCCTGAAAGTGACCATTCGATAACTTTTGCTATCATCTTTACATTGGAAGAAAGACACTAGGTCCAGCCACACTAAAGGGGAGAGGATTATACTGAGTAAACACCAGGAGGTGGGGGATCTTTGGGAACATCTTAAACTCTGCATGCCACCCCAGTCCATTCTGATGGACAAGTACTCATGCCATACCAGTGGTTAAATGCTCTGGATGTCACCTCTGAGTGTTTGTCTGAGCTGTAAACCAGACTCACTCAGCTTTGCAGCCCCCGCTGGGCGTCACTCACAGCCCCAAACAGTCGGTCCAACAAATAAGTATCTGCTAACCTGAACTGACTCTTTGACAGACCAGCCCGGGACAGCGAGGAAGAGGAGGACGATGAGAGGAGGGGCCGGGGCTGCACCCTGCAGTACCAGCACGCCATGGTGCGGGTCTTGACCCAGTTTGTGGCTGAGGCGGCTGGCCCTGGGGCACACTTGGCCCACCTCTTGGGCTCAGACTGGCAAGTGGACATCACGGAGCTGATCAATGACTTCATGCAGGTGGAGGAGCCCAGGATCGCCAAGTTGCAAGGGGGGCAGATCCTGATCGGACAGGAGCTTGGGATGACCACCATTCAGGTAAGAAATACCCAAAGGCAAGAACTTTCTATCTTCCTGTCTCTGCTCTGCCCAGATGAAAATTCAGTTATCTGTCACAGCTTAAAATGTTATCTATTTTTAGAGTGATTAAGTTTTAAGAAATTATCAAGTAATCAATATAAGTGGTATAATGATGCAACAAAAATCTTAAAATCCTTCACATATGACTTACACTTGAGAAACGCTGTACTGACTTCTCTGGTTGGTCCTATTTAAAACACCAGCCCATTATTTTCCCCCGAGCCATGGTAGGTGTTACTGTCTTGGGAAATAAGCTCTAAAGGTGAGCTAACTTGAATCATGGGCATAGCCAGCAAGCTCTTCTTGCCTGGCCACTCCTCCTAAAAACTTTCCATCCCACCGTGATATTGTTGCTGCTTTTAACCAAGATGCAACCTCAGGCCTGATGAGAACATGAGCATCTCAGAAATGTGCATAAACAAGGAAAAAAGTTATTATGACTCCGTTGGTCTGCTGGACACTACTCCTGGGGCCCAGGGAATGGAGCGGAGCAGCGAGCAACACTGGGGTGTTTGAAACAAACACTTTCACAAAACGCTGCTCTGGGAGCTTAATGTGGGCTTGGTCATTTATCTCCACCCTGAGAACAAAGGGAGAATTTATTCCTCAATAACTGCCCCATGCGGAAGAGAGGTGATCATCTTATCAGGCCATCTGTGAGGTTTCCAAAACAGCTGTGCATGAGGAATTCTTATAGCTGAAACTATACTGGATTAGGGAAGATTTAAAACATACCTATTCTGGAAACTTGGCTGGTATTTAAAAGAGATCATTTTATTCAAAGAGAAAAACAAATGGGTTTGGGCTATAGACTAGTAGTCACACGCACAAATGATCTCTAAAGACTGAGAAGGTAACAAGTGCAAAGTTGTGCTATCTGCTAGAAGAGAGGACGTTGAATGTCCTCATCATCACAAAGAAATGACTAGGTTTTGTAATGGTGAATATACTAATTACCCTGATTTGATCATCACACATTGTATACTTGTATTGATATTCAACTTTGTACTCCACAAATATGTATAATCAATATGTTAGATAGAAAGAATAGCTATGCTGTCGACCCTGACTGAATCAATGTATGAATATTCATGTCTTGAAACAACACACTCCACCCCACAAATATGCACCAAAAAAAAAAAAAAAAAGCTGAGAAGGCACCATCAGGGAAGGGAGCAGATTGAATGTGAGCTGAAAGATGTTGGCTGATTTTTTTTTTTTTTTAATGACTGGTAAGGGATCTTAACCCTCGACTTGGTGTTGTTAGCACCACGCTCTCCCAAGTGAGTAAACCGGCCATCCCTATATAGGGATCGGAACTCTTGGCCTTGGTGTTATCAGCACCATACTCTCCCAAGTGAGCCACAGGCTGGCCCAATGTTGGCCGATTTTGCTCTGAGTATTAGGAAGATAATAAGGAGTGGTGAGGACTGTGGTGCAGGCACAGGCTGCTACTCGTACCCAAAAGGTGCCAAGAAGAAATGCAAGACCAGTGTGGCCAGATGTTACAACTTTTCCAGGAGAGAGAAAACCTATCTTTTTAAGATCCGAACCCTTGGTGGGAGTGCCGCCGCGCTCCCAAGCGGCGCACTCTCCAGTGCGCCACTGGGCCAGCCGGTAAATACATTTTTTAATCCATGTTTCTTTCATTCATTCATCCTTTGATGGACTCTTGGGTTGCTCCACCTTTGACTGTTAATGAATAATGCTGCTATGAACATTTGTACAAATATCTCTATAAAATCCTTCTTTCAATTCTTTTGATTATATACTCAGATGTGGAATTGCTAGATCATATGGTAATTCCGTTAATAATTTTTAAGGAACTTTTGTTCTGTTTTCCAAAGTGACTGCATTGTACTGCTTTCCCACCAAGAGTGCAGAAGTGCTCTGATTTTTCCAAATCCTACCGACACTTGTTATATTCTATTGTATGGATAGTAGCCTTGTTAATGGGTGTGTGGTGGTTCCTTGTTTCTTTTTGAAAGAAAAAATAATATCTCTCTCATTTTTCAATAAAGACAATTACTAAATAATAAGGTATGTGTACAAACTTCTCAAAACTTGGAATTAGATTGCACCATGTCAGCCTCTTTTACCAATCCATTTTGATTTTCACGTGGTGATTGCTTTTCTTCACAGCAACCACGGACATCTTGAAACAGTACAGGTAGGCCTGTGAACCAAACTGACTCCATTTTCCCTGCAGAGGACACTTTGTTACTTTTCCACTCCTCAGTCATGAGACCCCCAGAGCAAATGATTACCCCATGGGCTGCCCTGACAAAATAGACTGAGAACTCAGTCATGAGACCCCTCATGATTACCCCATGGGCTGTCCTGACAAAATAGACTGAGACAAGAGAAGAAACAGATATTTACTGAGTTGCAAAACCCCTCCCCAAGGCTTGTTTACTATAATTGTAAAAGTTACAGATTAACCTTAAGACCCCTTTAGGAATTCCCACCTGTGCACAAAGCATCAAGGTGACTGCTACAATGACCCTCCTGGGGTGACAATGATGAACAGCACTGCCATTTTGGACCTACTGAGCATGCAGCCATGACGCAACCAGGAAGAACAGAACAGACCACCTCCAGTGATGGTGACCTGTACCCCTTAACTCCTTTCCCTATAAAAGATTCTGAACAGCTCCCCTCGGGGGGCTAGCTTTACTGTTGCTATCCCCCTTATGCATAAGTCTGTTTCCTCTTTTAATAAAGCTTTGCTTGCTTTACTGTTGGGTACATTGTTCATTTCTGGGACTTTGGAATCTGAGAGCCTAATTTAATCACTGGCAAAAATTGGAAAGCTTTGGGCACCAGAGAAGACTCCAGCTGCAAGAGGAAAGTGGCCACTGGGACTATTTTGCTCCCATGTGTCTGCTGCTGGTAGATACCTCCTGGAGTCCCTGGCCTAAATTCTGACAAGGCAATGCTTCATTCTCTTTACCTTTCTCTGATTTTCTGAGCCCTCTTCTGTTTGGTTGGATTGTATCCATTTCTGTACAGGTGCACCCTGGAGGGATCCTGGCTATGCTTTGTTTCTCTGATTTAAATCTAGTCGATTTTCTTCTTTGTGCTGAAAACAGTGGGGAGGACTGCTTTTATCAATTATGTTAATGGAATAGGTTGGCCCCGCAGATTGGGACTAGGCTAAACTGGACTCCACTGCTCCTCTTTTCTCTTTGTTTGCTTGGTTAGACATTTAGCTGAGTACTGGTAATCTGAATAAACCTTCCAACCCTTGCATCAACTTTTGGACTTTCAGGTCATTTGGTTAAGGTGAGAGGGCAAGCAGAGCCTGGCCTGTCGGTAACAATCTTATAATCACAAAGATGTCTTGTCAGCAAAGGAAATGTAAAGAGGTCTTTGTGAAAACCGAGCACCCCTGAAGCTGGTAGTTCATGCCCTGTCAGATGTCAAATATTTCTGTGTATCCAGGGTAACTGTGCAGACAGTTGCAGGTGTGAGGATAGAACAGCAGGAATTCAGTAGTTATTCACTGGAGTTTTCTGATTGCCAAGCAGTGGTCAGTCTTTAAAGATGAGTAGCCATGAAATTAGAATGAGAATAGACAGTAGGGGAGGGACTATTCTTTCCTCAGAAAAGTGAAACTGCACAGACTAAGGAAAATAATTTGAATGTTTTATAGTTTTTTCAATTGATAACCTCATGTTTGTATACTTAAATGGTCTCCATTTATAATTTTATAACTATTATTTGTTTATTTCTTGGGCCAGTAGTTTCCAAAATGTAGTTCAAGGAGACTCCTGGGAGAATCAGAATCACTTTGGGGGGTCCAGGAGTTCCAAACTATTTTCCTAAGGTTAAGCCTTTATTTGCTTTTTTTCTTCTCACTTACTCTGCATGATGTGATATTGCAAGTGTTTGTATTAAAAAGTAGATAAATCTAGGCTGGCCAGTTAGATCAGTTGGTTTGAGTGAAGCCTTGTAACACCAAGGTCATGGGTTTGGATCCACGTACTGGCCACCTGCCAAAAAAGAAAAAGAAAAAAAAATCTGGGTGATCTCTATTAAGGAGGACATTAAAGAGATTTGCAAATTTGTAAAACAATGCCACCTTTATCACTAATTTTTTGTTTGAAAAATTTAATTGTTGCTCATAGAAAGTGTGCTAAGTTATTAATAATAGGTTTGCTACATTTTATGTTTTAAATTTAAATTTTTCTCAGTGTCAGTTTATCATATGGTATAAATATAAATAGATATAAATCATACAAAGTAAAATTCTTTGGGTTTCACAATAATTTTGAAAAGTGTGAAGGCTCTCTGAGATTTACAAGTTTGAGAATTACTGGCTTAGGTTAAGTTTTTAGATATAGTTTTGCTGGGTTTCAGACATATACGTTTAACATTCAATCCACAGGATGCCAGATTGCTCTGATGCTGTTAAGTTGTTTTCCTGACTGTAAATTCTCATGCAAAATGTAATCCAGGTCTCTCAGACTCTAATCAAGTTGTCACACTGCTTCCAGTGATAAACACACTGAAGGAAATTCTATGGGAAATAGGTTTGGGCTCCACTTACCTGGACTTCCAGAGATCTCCTTTAATAAAGGATAAGTATAGAATTCTTAGAAGGAAAGGTTGAATGTAGATTTTTAAGTTTACAAACTCCAAGCCCAACATTCATTACCTGGGTGACCATAAGCAAGACATGTGCCCTTTGGAGCCTCATTTTCTTCACCTGTAAATCAAGGTGAAGTGTGGGTAAGAATTTGAGACAAGGCCCAATACATTCTAAGCAATGAATGAATGAATAGTGCCTGTGTTTCTTTTTTTTTTCCCGTTGAGACAAGGCCCAATACATTCTAAGCAATGAATGAATGAATAGTGCCTGTGTTTCTTTTTATTTCCCGTTTTTTTTTTTTTTTTGCTTTTCTACAATATATGTGAAATAAAGTTTTAATTTAATGATATGAGGAAATGAGGGT